CCCCCCCCCCGTTTACAGCTCGTTTTTCGTTGAAAAATTCCGTTCCACGGGGAATCGAACTCACCACAACCTTTCGCATATGAGACTTGCGTCTAGTCCACTCCGCCACCGGCGTCGGTAATTAAATTCTTTCTACAACTTGAATTATACAGGGTGACAAATGGGAATAGGTGAAAATTAAACTATGATAGTTTTGTTGATTGATGTAGAAAAGGAACGACAACCATGTACGCAGACACAATAGACTTTGCAAATTTATTTGCAATTTATTTGCAATTAGTTGGAGTTGCATTTTAATTTGTTAATTATGAAAATTCACACGGTAAAAGAATTAATCAAACTCTTTCGAGGACACATCGCCAATGGTACTCTTGAAGTGGTCTCCATCATAATTTGCGCAATGATCAACACTAGTAGACTGATTAATTTATTCCAAACGAGATTTGCTCACTATTAACGAATAATACACTGATAGAACGGATTAGTTATTATTAACGAATGGATTTTGGTTGGAGGTTAGGGGCTATTCGGTCCCACCAAATGTTCATTCGTTAATAGTTAACGAATGTATATTTGAGGAGCCTTGTTTGACTTGACTTTCGCCATTCAAGTGAACCATTCGTTAACTATTAACGAATATTCATTTGGTCATATTCAACTCTACCATTCGTTAATAGTTAACGAATCTCGTTTGGAATAAATGAATCATTCTATCAGTGTATAAAGTTGAATATGACCAAATGAATATTTATTAATAGTCAACGAATGGTTCACTTGAAAAGTGAAAATCGAGTCAAACAAGACTCCTCAAATGTGCATTTGTTAACTATTAACGAATGAACATTTGGTGAGACCAAATAGACCCTCGTCCCCAACCAAATCCATTCGTTAAGGAGCAATGAAACTTACCATCGGATTAAAAATTGGATTACAAGTTTTTTCGTCGTTAAATGAGTATTTAGCAAAACCCAAATTCTTACATCATCAATAATCTTGGTATCTATAGTGTAAGAATTTGGATTTTACTGAATAATCCTCTGACGATGAAAAAACTTAGAATCCAGTTTCGACCCCGATGATAAATTCCATTGCCTCTTAAAGTAGCTCTACCCTGCGGCCAGGCTACGCTGTACTTTTGGATATTTTCAGTTTTAAAATTTTTCAACTAAATTGCATGGAAAAAATTTGAAAAAATTCATATCCAGTCAGTATTATCTAAATTAAATTTCACAAAATATTGATATTTTTTCAAAACATATATAAATATGCCTCATAAATAAATAATAAAACTTGTTTGCAAAATGGTGGATTATTTTTTATGAGGTGTCAACAAAATTCTTGATTTTTTCACATCTAATGAAAAAAAAATTCAGATTTTAATCTTTGATCACAATGGAAATGTTGATTTTCACATAAGACACTGGGTTAAATCCTGATTTTTAAACATTTCTTCTTTGAAATAGTAAAACGACAATTAAATTAAGAAAAAAATTTGAATTCCGAATCTAATAGAGTTTTCTGCAATTTTTTTGCAGTTTTCAATAATCTTTGAATTTACCGTAAGGGTAGAGCTATTTTAACAATAACTAATCCTTTCTGTCAGTGAAGGCATTTATGAAAACTATGAGAGTTTTTCAATTTTAGCTTGATAAGTACTAGAAACACCGTTCTGGATAGCTCTTATCAGAGCCTCTGTTTCCTAAGGATTATCCGCGTAACAGAAGTCTGTGAGATGGCCCCACAAGAAAAAATCACACGGGTTCAAATCCGGTGAATATTGTGGCCATTCCATCCCTACTCGGGCAAAGCGAGGATACGCTAAACCGATGACGCAATCACCGTTTATCATCGTTAGTCATTGCATTTTTGTAATTTGATAATATAAATTATATAATTTCGTAATCGTGATCAGCACTTCCTTGTTATACTGTCCATTATATTTGTAACCGAGATACCATCGTCCTCCTGCATTTAGATCAGCGGAATCGTAATACAAAAATTTTAGCTAAGACGGTTATTGATGACTATTGAAAGAGATTGGAAGAGCTTGACTCGTCAACGTGATATTGAAATTCTGCATCAGTACTCAGATAGGGGGCGGAAATACAACTTGGCTTATACAAGTATTAAAAACAATGGATTCCATAAAATCGACATTTCGAAATGTGCCATATCGTCAACCTAATTCATTCCCGTTTTATATTTTACTCGTCGATGTTTATTGGATAGCGTTCATCTATGGAACTCTCCTGTTATATTTCTGCTCGCCAGCAGTTCCAAAAATTTTGGATTTTTTCAATCCGTTGAATGAGACTCGTCGTCGAGTATTTTTATTTCAAACGGAATATTTTATCGATCAAGACAAGTACTATGTGCAAATTTTGATGCATGCTTGGATTACGGTAACGGTTGCTACAGCTTACATTGTCTTTTTTGACAATGTATTTGCATTATTTGTTAATCATGCATGTGGAAGGTTGGAAATTCTGAGGTAAGCTGAATGGTATCGATAGTAATGATTCAATTTTTCTGGTATTGATTATTTTATGTGTAATGATATAGGCTTTTCTCCTTCTAGAGATCACTTGGAAACAATACATTCAAATGAATTAATCGAGAATGGAGAAAAGTCTGTGGACGATTTTGTAACTATCAAGCGTCGTATAGGGGTATGTTCTGATATACAAACTCAAACGTTTCAGTAAGTTATTCACAATTGCATCTTCCATCGTTGATGCACGAGATCAATCAACCTCCTAATGACAGATTCATTGAACTGTTGACGTCCTCCTACGATATTGCCCTATTATTTGTGGTGGGAATTTCTATGGCATTGATCGTATTTACTGGCGTAGTTGTGAGTATGAATTCTTGCTTTATTCTTCACAGTGAGCATAAAATAAACGATCTGTTCACTATTCTACAAGATTGTGATGAAGATGTCTCAACCAACAGAGATGATTAGAATTGTGGGGATTTGCCTCGACTCAATATTCCATTTATTTTGGATTAGTTGGTTAGGACACATGCTGATGGTACAGAACGATCGTGTCTTCAATGCAGCGTTAGTCTGACGAGTGAACCATCCACGGAGAGAGAAGTCGGAGAATTTGTTGGGGAAATTCCGGGGGAAATTCTAGACTAGCATCAAGGCGCAATGTGCCAACACAACAATTTCTCCTACGGCACTAGAAAATGTGCCGTTCTTATCGCGAAATGTTCTTTATTGGCAAACAAATAATTATTCGACAAACAATTTTTCCACGGCCAAAATGCAAGTTTTTTTTCAGTTACTCATTGATAATTTTGGTGATAGCTATTCAAAGTAATGTACTATAGTATGAAGAGAGATGAGAATTTAAGTAATATAGTGTTGTTGTATCATTTTTATATTTTTTTATTGTATCTATTCGACGATTACATCGAGTAACATTATATTAGGTGTGTGACTTAATTTTTACAGATTTTTCAGTAAATTTATTTAATATAAAAAAATGGAAAACAACGAACTTAATCTTGGAAATATTGTCGTATGTTTTCTATGACCTTGCGCCATCTCTCAGCACGTAGGAAAAAATCGTATAGAATCTTTCTATACGGACTGTGTATAGCATTTCTATAGGTTTTTCGTATATGATATTCGGATATTTCTATACGAAAATTTCCTATACGGTTCATTTCTATACGAATTTCTACACGAATTCGTATAGAAATAATCCGTATAGAGAATTTTTGTATAGAAATATCCGAATATCATATACGAAAAATCTATATAGAAATTCTATACGCAAATCGTATAGAAACTTTCTATACGATTTTTTCATACGTGAGGTAACATTCGAATGCCGTCGCGAAAAAAACTTGCAGGCTTCGAGGCGATTAAAGTCATCGGCGAATTCACGCACATCGTCCAGCGTTTTAAACTGTTTATCCACTAAGGCGTGCTGCATGGACCGGAACAAGTGATAGTCGGATAGGGCCAAATCTGGTGAATATGCCGCGTGCGGGAGAACTTCCCATCCCAAGTTTAAGAGGGTCTTCTGAGTCGCGCGAGCAACGTGAGGTCGAGCATTGTCATGCAGCAGTATGACTTGCCTGCTTCCTTGCCCAGTAAATGGCCTTTTCCGATCAAGTTCTTCGCCCAGTTTGCTCAGTTGTCGGCTGTAGCATTCCGCAGTCACCGTCTGACCTGTTTCCAGGAGTTCATAATAAAGCACACCCTTCATGTCCCACCAGATACACAGGAGAATCTTCTTTAAGGGGAAACGGAACCCCTTTGTCTACATCAAATCTTAGAATTGTGTTTTCTCCTACAATTATTAATTTCTATCTATGAAATTACTTTATCGACTCGATTATCGCATTGTTGAGTCAATGAAGTAGTTTAATGAATAAAAAATAATAATTGCAGGAGAAAACACAATTCTAAAGATTTATATAAACGCAGGGGTTCCGTTTCCCTTTAAATGGATGTTCCGTTTCGGCGTCGATGTACTGGATTATCCGGGATCTACCCACGACTTTTTACGTTTGGGATTCTCGTAAAAAATATAGTTTTCATCACCCGTCACAATTCTCCACAGGAAGTCCTTTTTTGTTGCCGGGCAAGCAGTGAAAGGCACGTGTTCATACGTTGACCTAGATTGTGTTCGGTCAACACATGTGGGACCCACCTTCCAAGTGTTTGGATTTTTCCCATTTGACGCAAACGCTTAGAAATAGCTGTTCGGGTGACTCCTAACAGAGCTGCAAGCTCTTGTTGCTTTTGCATTGAATCTTCATCCAGTAGAGCTTGCGATTCCGCATCTGTGAACTTTCGAGGCTGTCCAGGACGCGGCTGGTCACTCAGATCGAAATCACTTCTAAAACGTTTGTACCAATAATTACACGTTTCATAAGATACAACGTCGGCACCAAGAACACTACACATTGATTCCCGTGCTTCAGAAGCATTTTTTCCTTATTGGAATTCATATAAAATGCAGTGCCGAATGTGCTGTTTATCAGTTGCCATCGTAAACTCTGCTATTCTGAAAGGTTACGTGACTTACATAGACTTGTCGTTCCGTGTTCTGAAACCTTTTGTCCGATCCTTTCAAGACCGCGAATATATTTCTATTTTAAATATAATTGTAAACTCGAAGAAAAAATCTGTAAAAATTAAGTCATACACCTAATATTAACCCGTCAGCACTCGCGCCATTTTACCGAGAACCTTTAGTCGCGCCGTGAGAGAATTGCATGTAAAAGATTCTAGTCAGACAGAGGTCTAAGCTATCCATGGGACTGAAAGCCAATGCTCGAATTGAAATCGTACCATGAGCCACACGCGACCTCCCGAAATCGAACGCACGATTTCAACTCGAGAATACTCCCTGGTGTAGTTGCCGAGTAATACCGAACACCTCACGGAACCGCTCGATGCGAGAGAATCTCACTCTCCTTATCCGAGCTTGAGAAAATATTTGTTCATAATTTATTGAAATATACTAGACTGTTTTTATTGACCCCATAGGAAAGAGGGATAGTTGTTTGCGGCAACCAAAAAGTTTCAGTCCAAAATCTCAATTTTTTACTGTCCCCTATACCCTGAAAATTTTTGTAAGAGAAAATCATATAGCGCGAATGCTGACGGGTTGACCTGAAATATCATCACTGAATAATGCCACTAATTTTTAACAATTTCTATAACAAGTTCAGTTCACACTTTTTTTTTCAGACATACTCTTGATTTTATATGGTTAATCAAATTTTCATACCAAAATGAAACACAATAATCATTGATTATCACATAATTCTGCAGAATCCGTGTTAACGTTGCCCGAGGTCGACATAGAGACGTCATATGTGAGTCCCAAATCGGGACTCCCGGATGAAGTTTTTCGGGTCAGTTCGGCGAACCGAACGTTGCCGATATAGGGCGGACACGTCCGAAGATAGGTGTGAAAAATTGTAGTGTACTGGAAAAATTTCCCGTGCTCATCTAGAATTTGTATTCTTATTCCGAATAAAAAATGCGTCTCGCGTCTGGTACCCAGCACTAGAATTTTTACCCGACTTTTCTCTCCGTGTTCCAGCCATCAACTGGAATTTGAAGATACACTATTACATATCGGCTTTCTTCATAATCAATAGTTACCAGAGCGAATGGTACAGCTTGTCTGAGCGATCGCAGTTGATGCTCATTCCTCTCATGATGAGAAGTTCGAAACCAGTTCGATGTCAATTGACTGCTGGTAGAATATATGTGATGTCAATGCAAAGTTTCGGAGCAGTAAGTGAAATATTGGCATATTCGGGCAAGTTTAGGACGTAACAAAAATTCTGCTGCTTCCGAAGGCCTTGAAAACTGTTGCATCTTTGTTCACTATTTTGAATTCGATGAGATAGACGGATGTGACGTTCCAATTTAAAAAATTCTCAACAAGCAGGAAATTTGTAATATAATGTTGACGACTACTCATTGAATGAAGTATTGTTATTAAATATGTGTGCATCTCCAAAGTAAGTAATTTTAGGACGAAAGGTCAGAAGCCGTTCTTAGTGAGTAACAAATATCTGGTTTGAAAGAAATGTGATGATATTCTGTTCTATCATGATACCATGTTTATCAATGAAATAACGTGTATGTATAAAGATATAAAACTTCAAAATTGGGGCCATTTCTACGTCGACTTACAGTAAGTCCAAGTTTGAGTCTCGGAAAAAATAGCCCACATGATATCACGAGATTTTGTAGAGCTCAACATGTGATGATGGTTGGATGATGCCTAGGTATATATAGAAATACTCCAAGTTGATGGCTTCGGTATTGTTGTGTTGTATGACATTCTAATCTGTTCAATAAAATATTGCGGAATTCTTATAGATGAATCGAGAAATAAATTTAATTACGTTGAAATTTTGGTTCTCGATACTACTCTTATATGTCTATAATAATAATTTTGATTAATTCCACTGAACCCATTGAATTTTGGGTTTTGGCGTCCGAGTGGAAGCTTTGTAATCGCTCAAATTTACGATTCCAATTTTTTGTGGTAGGGTAACTGAATATGGTTTGTATGTGAGTATGTTGTCTTTTTTTTCGAAATTTTTTTATCCATCAAATTTCATGATTTTTTTCATGAATGTAGAATTTAAGAACCTCTATTCGTTAACAACAATTAAAATTCAATTTTTTATACCGATTCGAAAAAATTAATATTTTCTCAAAAATCGATTTTGCAACGATCACTCAAAAAATTGTCATTAAAAGCGGAGCCGTTGACGTTGGGCCGTCAACTTGTATGACGGCTCAAAATACTTGTTTTGATTATAAGAATTACTAAAAAAAAAGTAAAACAAATCAAAAGTGACATAATTTGAAAAATTCAACTTTTTTAACTTTTTTTTCGAATATTCATTATTATGACCATCTAGGAATCGAAAAAATACTAAATAATTTGCTGAAAATACTCGTATAGGCGGTGAAAACTGGGAAATTTTGACGCTTAATAAATCAAAACCGAACAAATAGAACTCGAGTTATTGGAAAAAAAACGGAAAAATTAAAAAAAAAATCATTTCTCCGAACTGGGCCGAAAAAATCTTAAAAAAATTGAGAGATAGTTCTTCAACCCCCCCAATCATAAAAAAAATCGCCATTAATTTCCAAGAGGGTAAGGGTCAGCGGTTGACTCATTTGGTGTGGAATACCTCATTTATATGAACAACCTCATAATTGAAAATTTTTTTAAACTACTTTTAGAAGGAAAAGCGTGGAATGCAAGGTCCGGTACATCCACATGAGCATCCACGTTACTAAATATAATGACTCAAGGAGGTTAAATTCATTTATATCAGCCAGTTTCCGACACAATATACGTCGAAATACTTCAAGATCACATATAAAACTTAATATCTACCTATCAGCATCCCGGAAAAATTGGAGTTGCTATATTAGCTAATTACCAAATTTTAAATCACTGAAAACAAGCCAATCTCCTCTTCACACTAGCGACATCTCCCACCGTTCGTCTCAATTTCCGCATAAAAATTACCGATTGAGTATAGCCCATTCAAAACAGTCGGAACCGCCAAGTGACAACACATACATAACCTCTAAAACCCCTATCAAAATGAAAACACAACAAAGTCCCTTTCCACTCTCTAAATCGAAGTGATGTGAAATTAAAACTACAAAACACTTCATCAGTATTATTTCACTCAGGTACATTAAAATAAAATCGACGAAAATGTGGATTCTCAAAGACGAATCAGACAAGCTCTACTACCTAACCCCATCTCAGCCGTTTATAATCGGCAGGAACCAAGGGGATTTGATCGTAAAATCCGACACATCCCTCAGTCGTGCTCATGCAAAAATCGACTTGCTCCCTCCCTTCGAAAAATGCCAAGTAACCGACACAAAATCAAAATATGGAACGTTCCTCCTGGACGATGATTCGGAAGTTATTAAGCAGATCGACGACGTTTACACCGTTCGATCCAACGACAGAATTCGTTTTGGCCTCCAAAATTGCATTTTAACATTCACCCAACAAAAGTTCATCGTCTCAACGACCTCTCTGTCCCCAGAACACAGAGAAGAGCTGGTCAGTATCATGAAGGAGATAGGGGGAACGACGCTGAAGGAGTGGGACAGCAGCTGCACTCATTTGACAGTCACCACCACAAAATTAACAGCGAAACTGGCCTGTTCCCTGGCAGCTGGGATTTCCATAGTCACCATCGACTACTGGAGATCAGTGAGAACTGCCAAAGCAAAGGGAGAGCCCCTCCCAGACCCCAAGGACTTCTGTCCAGGTCTCGAGGACTCGATGCTAGTGAAAAAAAATAAAAGCTCTCTCCTTCCAAGAGCCTCTCGCAGATCTCTCTTCAAGGATTTTTTGTTCATCCACTTCAGGGTGAATCAGCTGGAGACGTACAGGAAGATGATAGAATTGGCTGGAGGATCCTCAGTCTTCTATGGAGACAAATGTTTCGATAAGGAACTGCTGTCTCACCCCAACTCGAGGGTTATTCTTTACAACGAAGATGACAGTCAGGACGAGCCTTATAAAATACCTGCTGTGGACGCTGTCCGGAATTTTCTGAGGAAGAAAAAACGTCGAATGATCCCAGAGACTGAAATCCCTCTTGCTATTCTTTATTCGTCGGTCAAGAGCTACTGCAATCCAGATTTTTCGTATGAGATGTTATTCAAGAGTGGGAGGGAGAAGAGGGTGGTGGAGGGTGATATCTTGGTTGCTGAGACTCAGGAGGGTGAGGAGCAGAAGAGGTTTGGGGGGAGGAAGGGGTTTGTACCTGAGTCGTTGGTGATACCTGAGACTGAATCCTTTGGAGATGGTGAGAGTCAGAGAGATAGGAGGGGAAGGAAGAGATCGTCGGCTGGGTCGATTGTCAGGGATGAAGTTGTTGATGATTGCGGGGGCAGAGGTGAGAGGAAACGATCTAGGGAGATGGAGGATGGAGACACTGGGGAGAAGGAGAAGAGGGCTAGGATCGCACATTTACCCTTGGAAAGTGATAAATTGGCAGAGAGGACTTGCTCGACTCTCAAGTCAGACGAGATACCTGCAAAAGGGATCTTTGATGATTCTGGTGATGATTTTGAAGATCCTCCAGCTAAAAAATCGAAGAATGATGGAAAAATAGCGGGGAAAAGTCGTCTTGATATTGAGGATTTTGAAGATCTGCCAGTTAAAAAAACGAAGAATAATGGAAAAATATTGGGGAAAAATGGCTCTGACAGTGAGGATTGTGAAGATGTTCCAGTTAAAAAAACGAAGAATGATGGCAAAAGATTGGGGAAAAGTCGCCCTGACATTGAGGATTCGGAAGATGTTCCAGTTAAAAAAACGAAAAATGATGGCAAAAGATTGGGGAAAAATCGCCCTAACATTGAGGATTCTGAAGATCTTCCAGTGAAAAAAACGAAGCATGATGGAAAGATATTGGGGAAAAGTCGCCCTGACATTGAGGATTTTGAAGATCTTGCAGTTAAAAAAACGAAGAATGACGGCAAAATATTGGGGAAAAGTCGCCCTGACATTCCTAAGGAGAAAGTGATTGATAATGACAAGACAATTGGAAGAAAAAATGAGAGCAGAAATGATAATGATTTTGAGACGATAAAAACTCCTGCGAAGAATGCAGCTGCTCATAAAAGTGGCCAAGGTGGTCAGAGAAATGCTTCGCCCGAAGAAAATAAAAAACCCTCGAGGTTCTTGGAGGTATCTGATGGCGAGATGGAGATCGTCAAAGAGCCCATTGACGAGGAGATCGACGGAGATGAGGATGAAGAGTGGAAGAGTCATCAGAATAAAATTTCGAAGGAACGACTCAGAAGTTTCCTGGGAGATGAGAAATCAATGCAGAATTCGTTCTTGAGGCCTGAAGTCTTCTCTGGGAAATTTATTGGGAAGAAGTTCAAGAAGTTCCACTCAAAGATACCACAGAGGCCTGTCATCGAGTGGAAACGTGGTCTGTAGGGTTGACATTCTTTTTTTTTATCAGTTCTGAAAATTTTCGTCTATTATTTTATTATTCCGAACCATTACACAAATTCATGTGTTACTTTTTTCGCGTTCATAATTTTGTTTCATGAGGATTATAGAGTTTTCCCAGTTAACATTGTAGTGAACACTGCTCGATTGATTTATTTCCCTAGAGTGGAAACGAGGACTAAAGTGATAATATTCTCGTTTTCGATGATGGTTCAGAAAATTGTCTTGCATTGTTTTATTATTCGGATGAATACATAAGTTGATAATACCAGAGTCTTGGGTTTTCCTAATTTCTATTTTTGTGAAGAATGATGGCGTTTTTCCATTTCTATTGTAACCGAAATTTTGCTTGATTTCTTTTACACGCTATGAATATTGAAAAACAAAACAAATTGTTTTTTTGAGAATGCTAAAATTGATGACAGAAATGTCCGCATTTGTGGTGTGAATTTTTGTTGAAGATAATTAAATGTTGGTATGTGAAATACGAGTTGTATTATTTTCCATCATTCACCCAAAGAGAATCCTCTTATTTTTCATTGAGGATATCTAAGTACTTTGCCTATTTTTTCTCCAGTGAAATGCTTTTCTACTTTTGTAGTCGAATATCAGAGCTTTCGTTTGAGCCCCGTTTGCCCCTCAGTTTCCGGACACTTTACAATGTTTTTTATTACTTAAACTTTGTAGGTCTGAATTTAAATCGAGATATTGAACTCTGAGAAAACATTTTTTAAATCTGGAAAGATATTAACCATTTAGTTGATGATAACGTAGATAGCCCGTGGATAATACAGAATAGTAAAAAATGGTTTCTCACGCAAAGGCCTTCAAGTAAATTCGCTTATCTGTCTTGGACTCGAAGATATTCAGTAAAAATTTATCCTAAATTGGAAATTTATTGGTGTTATCGCTCATGTGTCGATTCATTTGCATTGAAAATATGTAGAAAAACAAAATTAGAAAGGAAGATAGAAATCAAATTTTAGTTTTACTTCCGAATGGAAGCTTCGTAATCGCTCAAGTTTAAGTTTCCTATTTTTTGGATTAGGGTAACTAAATATGGTCTAAAAAGTCAGAATATGTGATTCGTAGACGGTGTCTCTATGTATGTATGTTTTTTTTTTCTCTAAATTTTCTTATAAGGGATCAATCGGATTTAATGAATTTTTTCATAAATCTATAGAGTTGAATAAGCTCTATTCATTGATACCAGTTAAAATTCAAGTTGTCATACAGATTCGAATAAAATGATATTTTCCAAAATCAATTTTTCAACGATCACTCAACAAATTCTCATCAAAATGGAATCAGTCATGGCTAAAAAAATTGATAACAATACTCTCTCGATTCTATCAGAATAGAATCGGGGTCGCACGATTTGTTGTTGAGTTAAAACTGGTTATGTGATTTGAAAGAGAAAATCGGATTTTCATGATTACTGAAAGAATCATCAATAATAACAATTTTTTTCAATTTAATTATCGTTTTGGTTTTTCAAAGAAGAAATGTTTAAAAATCAGGACTTAACCCAGTATCGTATGTGAAAATCAACATTTCCATTGTAATCACAGATTAAAATCTGAATTTGAAAATCAACATTTCCATTGTAATCACAGATTAAAATCTGAATTTTTTTTCATTAGATGTGAAAAAATCAAGAATTTTTTTGACACCTCATAAAAAATCATCCACCGTTTTGTAAACAAGTTTTATTATTTATTTATAAGAGGGAAATGTTTGAAAAAATATCAATATTTTGCGAAATTTGATTTAGATAATACTGACTGGGTATGAATTGTTTCAAATTTTTTCCATGCAATTTAGTTGAAAAATTAAAAAACTGAAAATATTCAAAAGGGCCGAAGGGTACAGCTACATTAAACCATGGCTACAAAAGTATACTTCAGTGCCTTCTTAATCACGTAAAAAACTAATTCCCGTCTTGAGAGAGTGTGAATGTACAATCATTTAACAGAACGAAATAATACGGAAAAATTTTGATGATAGGTCGATTGAAGACACTACTGTAACATGAAAAAATAGGAGAAAAGAATCCTGAAATAACAATTGAAAGAAAGAGAATCCATTCGGAAGCAAATTGCTAATTTATTGGCAACAATAACTATACCCACCTATAACAAATACCGTTATCCACTTATTTTCTGTATTCATGGTGAAACAAAATTCTTTGTTGAACAGATACAAAATGCTGGTAAGAAGATTTTCATTTTTTCATAAATTCATGTCGATATTTTTTTTGTTCAATCATGTTTCTATTCAGCAGCACAAAATTATTCAGAGTATTTACAGAATTTTGCATTAAAATACAGGTGTATAAAGAAATTAACATATTATATTTCTCATTTTTAGCAAATTGTGGTCACTTGGTGACTCTCTATTTTTTAACATTCTAAAATTTTATTTTCAATGTCTCCACAGCAGTATTTTACCTTCATTATTATTTATATTAATTATTTTTCATTTTATCCCTTAAAAATTTGTTTTTCAGCAAAACAAAAAAGAGAAAAAGAATAGTTGAAATTAATGTGTAAAAAAAGCGCTCAATTAATTACAAGGAAAGGGATATTATAAATTTTTATGATTTCAATCCTTCAGGAGTAAATTAATAATAAATGGAACATTATTCAGTGAAATTCACGTCGATACAGCAGACGTTTACATGGTCGACCGATTTACTTATACTCCAAACTCCACTCGCACCCCTCCCCCCTCTTTTCGAACATCATAGCGTTCACGTCCATTTTTACGTGCACATCCCCATTTTCCATTCTTTTCATAAATGCCTCTTAAACCAAATAATTCATCCGTTTTAAACAATTGTTAATAGCTAGATTGTTTATAATAAAATTTAATAAAATGGCTGATATGAGTCTCGACGATATAATTAAGAAGAAAAAGCCACAGGGAAAGATGGGACTGAAAGGACGAGGCGGGTAAGCTACAGAATTTGTTATTATCATTGAACTATTTCGAATTCTTTCTACTGAAACAAATTCAATTTCCATTTCGCTGATTTGTTGCAACAATAAAAACAAAGTTTGAGTTAACAATGGGGAGAGTTTATTCGTTTTATTCGAAGGAAGTTCGATCCTAACCTCAATTTTTCAGGACTCAGATGTCCATGATCGCTATTTACATGAAGACAGATGTGATTATTAGACAGAAAATTGATGAATGCACTTCCGAGCTTTTGTGACAGAGTTGAAGTCATTGACTTTATCATTCAACTTTGGCCTCAATTTCTCTACTTCTCTGAATGACATTCTGTGTCAGGCTCCATGCAGACTCGGCAATTTTTATTTGCATGTGCTGCGTGTGAATGTAGTTTCATGAAGTGTCGTGAAATGAGAAGAAACAATATTCAATATTATAATTTCGAACAATTCTAAAAGATTCTAAACAATTCAATTTAAGTCTAAACAATTGTAAAAGTTGCTGAAATCAAGCATAACAAGTTCACTATAATTCATAAATATTCTCAACAAATATGAAACCCTACCCCAAGTTATTTTTAAAAATCAAATGGAGAACCACATTTTTGAAGTTGATAAAATTCCCTTATAGGTCAATTTTTGGACCGGGGTTAGCTTCAGGACGATTTCATTGAATATTCCATAAATAAAATGAAAATTGTACGAATTATTTTACCTTTCAATAATATTACTCGCGTATAATTGTGTGATCAATTATTTTTTTCAACCAGTTTATACAAACGTAAATTTTGTTTTATTGAAAGGTAAGAAATACCAGGCCAAATAGATTGTTAATCTTCGAGATGTGATTCTCCTCCGGAAAATATTGCGCTATTTTCCACGTGTGACGCTTTCGGAAGAGAACTTCTTTTTTTTCTCCACCACGCTTTGTCACTGATCCTTAGCAAATTGCAGCGCCATGCCACCCAGCACTGTACCTACCGAATATATATGAGATATTCCACGCCAAATGAGTCAACCGCTGACCCTCACCCTCTTGGAAATTGATGGCGATTTTTTCTACGATTGGGGAGGTTGAAAAACTATATCTCAAATTTTTTCAGATTTTTTCGACAGCCCAGTTTGGAGATATGATTTTTGTTTCGTTTTTCCGGTTTTTTTTCAATAACTCGAGTTCTATCCATCCGATTTTGATTTATTAAGCGTCAAAATTTTTCATTTTTTACTGCCTATAAGAAGATTTTTAGTGAATTTTTTTTTCGATCTCTAGATGCGCATAATAACTTTTCGAATAAAAAAGTTGAAAAACTTGAATTTTCTAAATTATGTCACGGATGATTTGTTTCATTTTTTTTCAGTAATTCTTATAATGAAAACAAGTATTTTGAGCCATCATACAAGTTGGGCATCGTCCTGGATCTATTTTATCTTCAATTTTTTCGTTTCGAAATTCCGTAAATTTGATCGGAACACCTCAAAATGGCGTTGATTGGCTCTGATTATAGACAGTATGAAGTGAATTTGATTGTATACCTATATATTACATATTTTTTCGATAGATAATCGAAGTCGTTTTGTGGTCTTTTGACAACATTTGCAAAATTTCCAAAAGAAAAAATTAAAAATAACATAGATTCAGGAGGATGCCTAACTTGAATGACAGCTCAAAATACTTGTTTTGATTATGAGAATTACTGAAAAAAGAAAAANGTATGAAGTGAATTTGATTGTATACCTATATATTACATATTTTTTCGATAGATAATCGAAGTCGTTTTGTGGTCTTTTGACAACATTTGCAAAATTTCCAAAAGAAAAAATTAAAAATAACATAGATTCAGGAGGATGCCTAACTTGAATGACAGCTCAAAATACTTGTTTTGATTATGAGAATTACTGAAAAAAGAAAAATTTGAATATCAACCGTGACATAATTTGCAAAATTCAAGTTTTTCAACTTTTTTTTCTCGAAAATTCGTTATTATGAGCATCTAGGAATCGAAAAAAAATTACTAAAAATAGTCGTATCGGCGATAAAAAATAGAAAATTTTGACGCTTAATAAATCAAAATCGGACAAATATAACTCGAGTTATTGGAAAAATGTGAAAAAAATCACATTTCCGAACTGGGCCGGCGAAAAAATCTGAAAAGATTTGAGATACAGTTTTTCAACCTCCCCAATCGTAGAAAAAATCGCCATTAATTTCCAAGAGGGCGAGGGTCAGCGATTGACTCATTTGACGTGGAATACCTCATATATATTTTATATGTTGATATTTCGAAAAAAACTTCATCACATGATTATGCATAAGTGTTACTATTGATAATGATAATAATTCGCACAATTTTTATTCTATTATTTATAGAATAATTAATAAAACGTGAAATCGTCCAGGTACCCGAGTCCAGTTATTGGCCTGTTCACCCTATAATACCTTGCTGATTGAATAATGTTTCAAAAAGTAAAAAGAGTTCGTTGTACTCCACTCCCTCACAACTCTCAATTTTCAGTATTCGCAAAGCTCCAGCACGCACCAACGTCCGGCCAACCCAGCCACCGCGTAGAACAAAGCCAATAACAGACGCTCGTTTCAAAATAATCCAAAAGAACCGAGAGAAGCTGACGGACGCTCGAGACAAACTAGCTCAAATAGCGAAGCAATCAGACGCTCGTCTGAAGCTGGAAAAACTCCGAGCAACCCACAAGCCCCCATCATTGGCCACAATCTCCCGAAAGACTGGTCGCAATGGAAAAATTTCGCTCTCCACCAACAGAATTCCCCCCTTGGTTCCCTCTTACGACTCGCAACTCCCGTATAATGTTCCCCCAAGGATCGTTGGATACAGAGGGAGCCTTGGAGAGCCCTCCTACATGGAGAACATGTCCATGGACTACCAAGACGACAGTTACATGGTCGAGGCGCCTTTGAGACGAACTGTGAGCAACGAATATGCACCTGGACCACCTCCACCCCCTCCAGTATTTGGTATCAAGCCTTCTGCTGGTTATTCGTGGCCAAAGAGTGCACAGAGGCCAACGATAATCAGAAAAACTGAGGTGGAACGACCCAGAGAATACAAAATTATTCCTAGGATCCCAATGGGACAGAAAATCGATAGTTATCGGGACGACTGGGGATTTGGGGGCAAGACGAGAACGATTTTGGCTGATGAACACGAAGAGAAATACTTCGATGTCAGGAGTCATAGGGATGTTGGGGTCAAGTCGAGGCTGGAGGGCAGTGGGACGAAACCCAGGGCCTTGGGCGTCCTGGGGAGGGCCAAGAGCAGCTCCTCTGGAGGCTCTAGCCAGCCCACGGGGTACAGGATCGTCGTGTCGAATCTGCAGGCTAATGTCACTCAGGAGGACATCAAGGAGCTGTTTGAGGATGTTGGAGAATTGCTGGTGTCGAGGCTAGTCAGGCCTGGAACTGCTGAGGTCATTTATAAGACACTGAAGGATGCCACCAAGGCCGTGGAGACGTACCATAACAGGCAGCTGGATGGACATCCTATGAAGTGTCTGCTGGTTAATCCTAGACCGAAGAATAATCCCACGGCTCCGGCTGTCAGACCGCTGACTGAGTAAGTTGTCGGGGGATTTGGGGGACGGGGAGGGGCAGAGGTAGGGGAGTAAAACGTAATGAGATAATTAGGGATTTTTGGAGAATTTTGAGAGATCTTTCTGCTGGAGGATCTCTTGGAGGATTAAGGGGTTCGGATTAAGGTAACGTGGGAGAGTTATTACGTTTTGCTGATTCATTTCTTAAGGATATCCAAGTATTTTGGCTATTTTTTCTACAGTGAAATGGGTTTCTACTTTGTAGTCGAACATCAGAGCTTTCATTTGAGCCCTAAGTTTCTGGAATTATACAATGATTTTATTATTTAAACTTTGCAGGTCTGAATTTGAATATCGATATTGAGTCGTTAGAAAACATTTTGAAAATCTGAAAAAAAATGGAAAGTTTGCTTTTAGGGGAAGATTGAGGAAACAATTAAAAAATTGTAATTTTTGAAAATCACAAGCATTTTCTATAAATAATTTATAAGAATCAATTTTTCACCATAAAAATCATTTGTTCGGAATCGTAAACAGTTTATTCACATGCAGAATATTACCAAAAATCGATTTCATTCTTGAGCAAATAAGGTTTCCGAAAGTTTGAACAATTTTAATTATTTATTTATAAACAACGAATGTCTAAAAAATAATAATTCTGGGCAAAATGCAATTTGCATAACGCTAAATATTCATAATTTTTTTTTTTAATTTCTCAGGCCATTTAATTGACCAATTTGATGATTGAAAATGCAAATGTGTAGTGTGGTCTGCACCAAACTGTAAAAGATTAACTTACTTTGGCTATTTTTTCAACAGTCAAATGATTTTCTACTGTTCTAGTCGATCATCAAACCTTTCATTTATTCATAATTGTAATAAGTTTATTCATATTCAGACTTTTACCAGAAATCTATTTCTTGTCTAAAAATAAGATTTACAAAAGTTTAAACAATTTCAAATATTTACTTATAAACACCAAATGTTTGAAAAACTAATAATTCTGTGCAAACTTTAATTTCAATGCCGCTGAATATTCATGACATCAAATTTTTCTCACGCAATTCAATTGACTAATTTGATGATTGAAAACGGTTGAATCTTGAACGAGACTCTTGATGGGTCTGTTTGGAGAGAGTAGATTTTTATGGGAAATCCTTTTTTAGAGGAAACGATGACCATAAAAATTGACTTTGCCCAGGCTATTAGGAAATCGAGATTTTTATCAATTGTCATGTATTTGATTAATTTATCGACTATGAAGACGAAGAAGATGATTTATTTTCATAGCAAGATTTTTCTTCTCCTTGTCATCTGTATGACAAAATGATATCAGCCACGTTATCGAATCCGAAAATATGGTAATGAGTTGTAATTTCCTTTTCTTGGGCAAAAAATTCTGTTTTCTGTTTGACGAAAGAATATGGATCGCTTTTCGTATTTGAGTGTTTCTCTCAAGTGAGAAATTAACTAATTATCCACAGAAACTAATTTTCATTTTCATTTCGGAAAAATATTAATTCTTCATTGACAGTTTTTCTCTGTTTAATTATTACAAAGAAAATACCAAAAGATCACTGGAATTACATCCCTAGTCAAAAAAGAAAAACAATTATGAGTTAATTAATAAATCCTCTACGTGAAAATTTATTGGGAATCCTTCCAATGTTTGAGAAGTATGAAATTTCATCTTTTACAGATCCAGAAGAACAGCAAGCTCCAGTTACGTGCAACCAAGCTTGGGTGCAGTCCATCGGGCTCTTTTCGATGACTGCCACAACTGAATAATGATTATTATCATCATCCACTTTTTTCAACACCTCATGATCAATTATTATCACCCACTTATCTGAATTATCATTTCAAAACGGAGAATGAGGCAAATTGAAGATCGTTGAGAGTCAACGAAACGCCAGGAGTCTAAAAATTTATTTAGAAGAGGCTAAATGAAAAGACAATTTGCAAATAAGTTGATATGAACTGCCGGAAAGAGGAGAATTAGACAAAAGAAATATCTAAACTGACTTAATTACGAGGATACAGAATTTTCTTCATGAATTCCAACGAGAGAGACATTAATCTTGTTTCAACACCTTACGACTCAGTTATCATTTTCGTAGGTGAAAAAACTGTTGAATTCATAATATTTTGGTATGAAGAAGATGCTCATGATGAAAATCTCAAAAAAAATTTCCTGAATAAAGAAATTACATTTTTAATTAATTTCCATTGGAATTGATTGATGACACATTTTTCAAGAATAAACGTTGTGACGTGCGAGGCGTTCATCTTCTCCCTTAAGGACGTTTAATTTTTTTACCAGGAAAACTTTGGGGATGGGGAAACGAAACAAATGAACGCTTCTGTTAAGTATTCATGCAATTATCCTCCAAATAAATTCAATTGAATAATTAAAAATGAGTCAATTCAATTAAATTCTCGATTACCAACAAATGAAAGCTCTTTGAAAAATGTATTTCCATTGTATAATTAGAGAAATAATAATTTTTCACTCACAAAATCATACTGAAGATGAATAATAGAAGATATGAGTCTAACCTGCACCATTTGCTAATATTTAATTGAATATTCACTTATTTGGGCGCTAATTGCATGAATAATAGCAACTTTCGGTCATTTTCAATACTTGTCTCAATGAAAAAATTAATCACCGCCGAACTACGGCGAAAAACAAACAAATTAGCGCCAAAATTCTTGACATTTTGACAATTTTGGGTGAAAATTTCAGATAAAAAAAAAACTTTTTCAGTAATTAACGATTAAAAAAACGTTTTCTCGTATAAATCCCGTCAAACTGAAGATAATATTATGTACGACGTCTCAATTTAAAGAGTTTCATGTTCTTTGAGTGTAGCAAAGGGCTACACTCAAAGCACTAATAGTAATTTTGAAAAAAATAGTAATCATAGGGCTACACTGATAGCAATTTGGACAAAAAAAAATTTTGAGAAAAGCACAATTCTCAAAAAATCACAACTCCCTCAATTATGCATATTTTTTAATTGTTCTTCAAAATTTTTGTCTAATCGCTATCTTTTCAGAAACAAAATGAGACGAAAATCCCCAGTATCGACTTTTTTGTCCTACGGATTTGGCGTGGATCTGCTCAACTCAATTACTAGAAAACTGCGAAATTAAAAATAAATGGTGAATTAAAATTTTTATCATCATGAAGAAGTTAATTCAGCCTTCAGTTGACAAAGAAGTTGTAATTTTTTTTAATGAACTTGAACTCATCTTTGACTGTGGAACTGCTTAGTCATTGAGAAACTCTTAGGCGTATTTTCATTAAGAAAGCATTAAATAAATAAAATTGAGGTATAATTGTCTCCACACGTCACAATGCCTTCCAACTTCTTCGCGTGCGCTTGTTCCTTCAGAAGATATTCGCGAAATTATAGCAGAACGAAAACAATTGAATATCAAAAAAATGAAAAAAAAAATTTATGGTAGAGAATTTTTATTTACTTGTACAAGAATGATCACAAAGTAGTAAGTCCTTCCTTTAACTCTGAAGAAAAATACAAAAGCTAATTGGTACCTTAAATACAGGAGGAGAAAGTTCATCGACGTGCACTGAAAAATATTCTCATGATGCAAATTCCCTCGATCATTTGAATCTATCAAAAGAATTTTCACGTTTGTCATGTGACAATTTTGAGTTTTCAACTCTTTTTAAAATATATTAGATGGCACATAAATATTTACTTGAGTCCCAAAAACAGAACATAAACAATTTTTCCCCCACATAATTCAATGAATCTCACATAAAATTGTAGTAAAAAAACATTCGAGTGTCACGTCGCGTTAATTGGACATAGAAAAGTTATAGAAAAAATTAGTCGGGCCAAACTTGTAGGAGAAAATAATACATAAATCAAGTACAGAAAGTCACTGAACCATAACAAACAAAAAATATTTACAAAAAATTCGATTTTGGGAGACTCAAATACTGAATCAATAATTTAATATTTATTCTGCTATTTAAATTACGTTGTTTAGTTTAAATCCACTCAGTAGACTCGACTACACCCAGAAAAAATGTCACTGCATGCTGATATTGAAGAAAAATCCCCTCGATTTCACCGATTTTTTTTCTTCGAACTCATATTGCACAATTCTAGGGTTTAAATTTGAAAAACAAATGTGACATTTTCTCTGAACTGATTTAAATTGCTGAATATTTGTTGTCACTGTTAAAACTTCTTTTTTTTCAGTTTTAGTGGATTTTTGAATGCATTGGAATTTGTTAATGTCTACGTGAATGATTGGCTTTTGGTTTGTTTGGCATTCTCAGAGCCTCAGCATAAGACATTTCGAGTCTTCTGAGTCTGGCAACTTCCTCAGATGCTGAGGATGGTTTATATTCCCTACTGTAGTCCAATGTTGTGGAATTGTGCTGATCATTGTGTCGATTGTGTCCATTTATTCTACGACTCGTTGGTGATTCTCTCGTTCTACTCGAGAATACGTGAATTGTGTTACCATTCCAAACAGTACCATCCTGTTCAGCTTGTGTTAGTGGTCGGAATTTTTGTCGTCTACCACCGCTGTTTGACTTGGCCTGCAAGAATTTCGGATTTTGACTTGGCACGATGTCTGGTGTTGTTGATCTGTCATTGAAGTTCAACTTTTTCTGGGCACTTTTCTTCGCTGTGTTCTTCTTCCTCACCTGGAAAATATTTTTACATAATTAATGAAAGCATTTTAATAGGAAAAATAATTAGTAGTGCAGTGAAGTCAGAGTAGAAATTTAATTCCAGAAAGAGAAAGAATTTTATTGCAAATGCTTTAGGACTGGAAATATGTGGTACACTGAGAAAGAAATATATTTTTGCCAAATATTTTCTTTTACTTGAGAGAAGCATTTATTTTTTCAAAATCGTATTCCTCCAGGCGAGCCTGATTAGGTTCGAATTATGATAGTCCTGTTGGTTTAGAAGATGACTATGTTGAACATGACCTTGAATAAACTTTTCCAATAATTGTTCATTTTTCCTAAATTTCTTATTTTCTACAGGGAAAATTTCAATTAATTTGTTAATGGTTATAATTATTGAGGGAGTTCACTCAAGCTTATAACTTACATGAATGTCTTCTAGAGCAATATAATTGTCATAATTGAAACCTAATGAGAATTCCCTGGGAATGACTCGACTGGAGAAATACAGTATTGAAAACATGAATACATTTCTCAAGTAAATGGATATTTGACCAATTTTTTTTTCGCAGTGCAGAATTAATCCAGAAATCTTTTTATAGCTTTTAAAATTTTCTACGAGAAAGATTTGTTTACAAAATTTTCAGCAACTAGCTACTCCCGAGATAGGCGAAAGATTAAAGTTTGTAAAGTAGTCCTTTTTATGCCCTTTCTTACAGAATAAAATGAAGTCGAATGCATGAATCGATTGTTGATCATGTGGAATGCTTACTTTTGTCAGCAGAGCGATTACGATTGAGAAATTGGCACGAAAGAAATGATAAGAGGGAATGGAATTTTATTTCCGAATAGAGGGATGAATGAGAATCTTTTGTATTATGATGATGACAGTTGGATAAGAAGTAATAACACGCACGAAAAAATTTAATAGATAAACCTATCGAATTCGTTAGAAAATTCTATTGAATTTCTATTAAACTTTCTATTAGTATTTGGCTGATTCTATTGACATGTTCAATAGAAAACATTCAATAGTTAACAGAATTCGATTTTTCTATATAACTTATTAATTTCGTATATTTTCTATAGAATTTGCTCGACTCGGATTTTCTAAGTTTTTTTCATTCTATTTTTCTTTTCTTCTCATCAAGAAAATCAAATGAAAAAACTTAGAAAAGTTCAGCCAAGGAAATTCTATAGAAAATATCTCAATAGAATAAGTTATATAGGAAAATTGAATTCTATTGACTTTTTCTACTGAATATTTTCTATTGAACGCTTCAATAGAATCGGCCAAAAACTATTAGAACAGTTCAATAGAAATTCAATAGAATTTTCTAACGAATTCCGTAGGTTTTTCTATTAAATTCTTTCGTCCGTAAATCCCAAAAATTGGCAGAATGCAATGGAAATTTCAGAAGATCATGACAAAATGCAGGCATTTAAGAAAAAAGTATTATCAAAATTTTCCTAGATATGAAAAAATAATAATGCAAATGTTCGAATTCTGCTATGAATGTTAGAAAAAGGTCAATATTCAATTTTTTCGAGAAAAATTGAGGACATTGGTTATTATAAATATCCTAAGAGTCTGAAAAGGTGAATAATAAAAAAAATCCATAAAACGATCTGCCTACATCGAAATATCCTCTAGACACTGAGAAAACCTCTCCTCCTTTCAAAAATGCTCAATTATTTATATTAAGGTACTTCTTCAGTATAACTTTGAGCTATAGAGTGAGGGTAAACATCAAAGGTGCCGACACTCCGCTGCATCGTTCGAAAAAAAAATATGAAAATTTTAAAGATTCAAGAGTGGATAGAAATTTTGCCGCTCGGATTCCTTTTTATTTATCCCATTTTACTAAAGATGAAAGAAACGTGAAATTGTGTTATATCGAAATATCTCGAAACTGCCTGACCGCTAATCCTCAATTCTGATTGGTCAATGAGTCACGTGAAATAGTAGCTGAAAAAAATTCCCGGTATTTTCAAATTCTTCAAATGCCAAAAAAAAATTCTGCGTCATATTTTTCATTTTTTTATGTGTGAAGTTTATCTTTATATCAAAACACCTCTAAATTGCCTAATTGTTGATCATGAGAAAAAAAACAGTATTTTAAATTTTTTTTCAACTCACAAATTAGTGTCTTCACTTCCCAAATTTTAATTTTTTCATATTTATCATTCACAAAAATGATCAATTCTTGCTTCTCAGATTTTCATACATAAATTCTAAACTCTACAAAATTCATGAAAATTCTTCGGTTTCCCAAGTAATTCGAGAAAAATCTGTGAAGATCTACGGTTATCTGGAAAACTGTCAAATTTTCCAAAGAATTCAAGCAATTTTTTCAGTTTTCTAGGAAATCAATTCATAACCCTCCTCTCATTTTTCAACAATTACAGATTTTATTCAGATTATTTTAAAAAGTCAAAAAAAAATTAATCGAAGATTAAAAATTATTCATTGATGTTTCACTCTTCATTCTCTTAATTCTCTTCAAGTCATTATCAATATTTATAAAACATCTATGCGTATATGAAGTTTAATAAATTTGATTTCTTCATGTTCACAACGAATAGATGAGCGCGCGCACAGTTCTAGTGACTCATAATTATTCAACCGACGATTTTTTTTATTCTCAAATAAAAAAAAAAGATTTTATCGATAAATTGAAACTATCGTCAGAGATCAACAACCAGGCATTTTCGTTAGACGAAGTTGGTGTTACTGTCCTTTGATATGACCCTAAACTACACTATAGTAGGGTTGCTTCAATTTACTATAGGACCTACAGTCGAGCTAACCCTGTACATTCTAACCGTCTCTCATGTTACACCGGTATTTTTCCCTAGTTTAACAAAAATTTATGATCCTGTGATACATTTTCAATGATTTCTCGAAATCTGTGCACTAATAAATTATGAAATTGCAGATATATTCTTGGAATGTGTTCTATGGTGGAAATCGGGTATTTGCATTGCTTATACATTGTCGATGCTCATACTGAAGAGTTGAAAAGTGACTCTCATAATACGCTGTACAAATGATGTTTTTAATCATTTTTTTTCACAAAAAACTGAGCAGTCAATTGTGTTGGGACTCCTTCCGATATATTCCTGGCTATTTCAAGAATTTTTCCTCAAAATTTCAAATTTTTTGTACATTGTCGACTGTTTCCATATCACTGACTGGGGAAGTACCTTAAGGTGTTCCTTTCGAAAAAAGTAAATGATGACATTCATCTGAAATTCATATAGGATATTTATAATCACAGTTGGATTATTTATGAATTTTTTTGGAATGTTTCTACATTTCCTTTTTAAATTATTAACAATCAAACTCGCTTCTTATAAATGGGCATTTGATATGAAACTGCTTTACCATCGGAGCTGATCATGTAGTTTCAGTGACTTGGACGGTAGTTGCCATCAGAGTAGAAAATTTCAATTACATTTTTTGTAGGGTAAAATGATTATTTTGAAATATCCAAATTCATATATGCTCTATAACGTCGTTATATGAAGCGCTTAAAATTTGATTTTTAAAACGATCGGGTCACCCTTGAAAAAAAATGGACAGAAATTTTCTACTCTGATGGTAACTGCCATCAAGGTTATATAGCCTTCATGCTAATTCGAAAAATCGTCCTAAGGGTCCATGTCTAACAAATTGAATTGGGTAATTTTCTGGTCAATTCACGAACTAATGGCGCCAGGTGGCCATCCACTTTTCAATGGATCAGGCGAGGAAAGCGCGCATCTGACCATCTTTGTTCAATGCCTTTGGCAAATGGAGTCGGCGCCGACCTGCTGCCATCTGTTTCGGTTTTCCAAAAATACCCCAATTGTTTGTTGATAATTTGTAAACGAAATCTAGAAGAATCCTTCCTAAAAAAAACAGGCAATATCTCGAATCGAAAATGAGAACGCGAACATGGCGGATATCTCGAATGAATGGAGCATAAACATATTCGTCTATGGAATGGAGAAATTAAGGCGGTTTTCATAAGTTCAATCGCCTAACTTCGAATTTTCATGAAACCCGCCTAATAAAAGAGAATTGAATACCATTCTATGAAACACGAATAAACGAGTCATAATTGTCCAAATAATTTAGATTAGAGGAAAATAGAATAATTCTACTTTTTTAATATTGCATTTACTAAGATTTTTTTCGAAAAAAGTTGATTAGAATAAATAGCGAGAATTATGAGATCATCTCATATTTTTGACGTTAAGGATAGAAGAATTTGAATCCAATATAGTGAAAATGATGATTGATTTTTTCTCTCTGAACAAATAATATCAATATCCAAATACAAAATTCAGATATGAATAAAAAGAAGCTGTGACTCAATCTTCCAAATTAAGTTTTAATTTCTAATTTAGTGCTGAAACACGAGATGACAATATTCTAAACACGGAATTATATTGATGAGACGAACAACAGATTAATGGAATTATCGCGTGGACTAACTAAAAATTGATAACAGTGTGGGCACGCACTTTCACGAGAGTATCAACAAACATTGAATTCCAGAAATCCACACCCTAAAGTGTGTTCCAGAAGAAATTGAATTGTAATTATGATTAACATCTTATTCAGTGAGCGTAGGCATTAAAACATGAGCAAATCATTTATTGTAATATGAAAATTTAACAACTGATAAATTGGGACATACGATTCTCATCGGTCGTATTGCTTTTTCCAATGAGAATGATTATAAACAATGAAGTGAAACAATGAGTATTGAATCTGACATAAAAAAGGGCATAACGAAGGAAAAAATCATGTATCATCTGACAACAGCGATGAACGTCCTATAAAAATTTCGAGTCAATGTCATCATTTATTACACAGATGAAGCCCCTTAAAGACTCATCATTCTCGAGAACTTTCAACCTGAAAATTCTTCATCTCCCTCAATGAAATTCTTCTCTCCAAGAATTGACCAAAATCGACGAATCCTCATCTTGTCAATCATCTAAATCCTCAAAACCTGCAGAATTTCAAGCTACATCGTAAAGATCCTAGGTAAATTTCAAATGGAAAACCACGCCGCTGGCAAAAGCATTCAAGGCATCAAAGACGTTCCACTGAGAAGTGCTCAACCATTTCCCTCAAACCCACCAGCCTCCACCATCTCCACCTGAAACCTTCCACCACCGGCAACCCTCTTCAACTACAAAAAAAACCTAAAAAAATCTACCTCATCGAAAATTGGAAAACAATTCTCTCCATCGCGAAACGCGCTATACTCCTCACCTGAACAGACAGATAATCATACTGCTGATGTCTTTTGTGAGGATGTCTGGTAACATGATGCTCACTCTTGCCCGCACTACCACCAGTCTTTCCCTCCTCCCCTTTCTCAGGCGTTGGGGTTTGAATCCTGATGACAGGTTCAGAGACGACTGATGATATGACTGACGACATGACACTCATTGTGTCATCGTTCTCCCCAGAGTCGTCTAGAGTTCTGTTCTCCGACGATTGCGTCGTATTGTCGAGCAAGGGTAGCTTCTCACCCTCGTCTTTAGCCTCAGCTGCTCTCTTCAGAACTCCAAATATCTCTCTAAAGAGTTGACGATACTCTGGTGCTTTGTTAAATCGACTCTCGAAGGAGCTCGTGTCGTCGTAAATACTGAATTTGCAATCGTCATCAGCTATTGAGCAGAGGAATGAGCCGGGTCGACCTTCTGTCTGTGTACCCTTGTTGCTGGTTTCGTCGGAGAAGCCTGATGACGATGTTTCGGCCTCTGAGAAGTCTGTCGGAGTCGCTGAGAATGGCTTCTTCCCGTTTCGACAGTCTCGCGACCGGAAGCTGGTGCCGTTTTGTTTTGAGGGGTCGTTCAGCTCGGGGTTATCGTCGGAGGGCTGTGTCTGGAAACTGTTGAAGTCACCGGACATCTCGAGTTCCTCCTGGAGGGACATGCAGGGCGTGGGAATGCTCGGCTTACGACGCGCTGGCTGACGTTGGACCTCGAGCAGCGCCTCGTATTTCTCGACTAGGACGCGGTAGGGGTTCACGTCCATCTCCGGCGAGAGGCCATTGGCGGGGGTTGGCTCCTGGAGAAAATGTTTTTAATAATTATTATGGAGTATGAGGTGAGGTACACAGAGAAAAAAATTACTGGTCTTCAGAACCTCGTTACCGATTTTAACCCTCGATCACTCGCTCTATGAGCGCGGCGCCGCTCGTTTTCGTTTTTTTATATTTTAGCATGTTTCTCGACGCTTAAAAATTCTGAAAAAGTTAGAGTTCCTAGGTCAATCCTTTTATTAACCCTAGATTGTTCATCCGATGAGGGAAAATCGGCCTCGTATCGTCTTTCTTTAATTACAATTGACTGGGTATACGGAAAAATTTAAAAAAATTTGACTTTGTCAATTGAAGTGTCTAAAAAATTATAGTAGTTTTTAGAACAGCATATCTCCCAAAATTCCTAAAGAAAACAAATTGACGCGACGTTGCTTGAAACTCGTTAAACGCGCCCGGGCATTGTAGACTGAATTCGGCAACGCTAGAGCCTAAATAATACGGCGGGGAATCCCCGCGGAGGTGGCCAAAGTTGCAGGGTCGCATTTAGTGACCAGACTAGGGTTGGGCGTTGGCGTTGTCCCGTTTTTTTCTGGAGAAATTTGTTGAGCTAAAGAAAAAAGAAACGTCGAACTGGCAGTGTTCCTACATTCACTACCGCACTTAAAATGCGCACCGAGGGGTAAGCGCCAAAGTGGCAACAGTGCGCTCGGTTTAAAGGAGATTCTACTATCAAGCGCGACGCAGAATTAACGCGACATGTGCCATTGTTTGAATCAATCTTTCAACTTTTTTTGAATTATGTTGATTTATTCTAATATATCATGGGGTACCTAAAAAACTAGGAAAAAATTTTGTACCCAACCCACTTTACTCCGTAAGTCATTCGAAACCATTATTTTTCACGTTTTCGGCTTTGAAATCCTCCTTGCACCACAATTTTCATCTGATTCACATTTTTTTTTTAAATGTTCGTTATGTTCCATAGAATAGAACTAGGTATTTTTTTTCCATTATCTCAATTGGAGCGTAGAAAAATCATTTTTTTCGGCTTAAGGCTCGGGTGTACTATCTTTCGAATTTTATCTGGATTTTTTTCATCTTTCGTAATCCAAAATTGTCAATTGAGTGAGTAGTACATCATGTAGAAATTCCCAAAAATTACGATGACAAAAAATAGAAAAAATTCTGAAGTTTTTCAAAGAGCGTTTTTAATTGAGATTCAGAATGAGTTGAAAAAAGTGGAAATTACAAATATCTGATTGGCTGTGGCAAATTATCTATTAGCTGTCATTTTCCATGGTGGATAACAAAACACTAACTCCTCATGGGAAGTGACATCAAGGAATCTCAATTTTCAAAACAGTGGTATGTATACTGACTATAGTCAGTATACGACTATAGTCATCTGCCATTTTTAAGTGATAAAAGTGTGATTAAAAAATTCTCCAAAATATTACAACTTTTTTCAGAGCCTTTTCCGTAATAAATGTCTCTGTGCAGTATGGGAAAAGATTTACGAAATCAGTCTTCCCACGGCATGATATTGGGTGACAGGCCGCCATTTGTCACCGTAAATCAGATACATTTTTCAGATTCTTGTTATTCAACTTATTCTGAATATAAATTAAAAATGCTCTTTGAAAAAATGAAGAATTTTCTCTCCTTTTTTTTTATTCTTCATTCATAATTTTTCAAAACTTCTGCATGATGCAGGACTTAATTGACAATTTCAGATAACGAAAGATGAAAAAAACATCGAGATAACGTTCGAAAGATAGTATATCCGGGCCTTCAACGTTTTTTTATTCATTTTTTTCAGTAAAAATTTTCTGGTTATTCATATTGAGAATAATCTCGGTTCCCCTCCTACTTCATCCAATCATTTCCTATGACGTCACAAAGATGTGAAACTCTATAAATTACCTTCTTTAATGTAAAACTTTTCATACCGTAAAACTTGATGTAAAACGTTTTTCATACAGTATAAAAATTATTATTCTGAGTAGTTGAGCACTAAAATAGTAAATAATAGGTGCGAGGACGTCTTTGGGCTCGTCGTCAGCGTGCTGGCCCTATAAACCAAAACGTCCCAGTAGCGCAGGTGCGAGTCCCGGTGATGAAAGATTTTTTCATCGCCGGAAAACGAACCCAGTGCATGTGGAGTTAGTTATGTGGAGTTAGATATAAGTTAGCTTAGAGGCAAGTGCGGGTAGGGAATTAGGCTGGGGTACCGCGTAGGTATAGGGACGGGTAGGTAAAAGACCACAACGGTCATACCATCTGGCACCACCCAATTTTTAGTAAATAATAGGTGTTCAATATTGGAAAGTGACGAGGTTGATGAAAAATCAATTGAGAATCCTATCCCTTTCGATTTATGTAGCGCAAGTATCATCATATATCTATTGATTTTTGAGAATTTCATCCTTGAGTGAATATGTGGCATCGTAGAGGCTATCAGTGAATCAATTCCCCTTATTTTCTCCCAAATTCCAAAGGCGATGTTTGTGATTTTCGTGAATTTCAAAAGTGTATGTGTATAATTTTTCACCAAAAAACACCTTTTATACACTCTCTTGATGTTCAACTACTCATAATAATAATTTTTATACGGTATGAAAAAAGGAAAAAATTAATAAACCGAGAAAAATTACCTTTTCTATGATATGATTCCAAAAACGAAATGAAGCCAGAAACTCGAAAAACGAGTTTTTTGCCTGACGTACGGGGTAAAATGGGTTGGCTACGACATTTTTTCGGTACCCTATGATATATTTAAAGTCGCTCGATAGTTATTTTCATCAACCGAAGACTTTCAAATTTCACCTGAGTCCCCCTTCAAGAACCTAAAAGTTTTGCATTCCAGAACAAAAATTTGCTTAAAATGAGAGAAATGTGACTTAATGAACCATTACTGGATTAAGTTGTTTCGTGAGAAAACGGTAAATAATGACATTCATCTGGAATTCATATAGAATGTTTATAATCACAATTGAATTATTTATGAGTTTTCCCAAAAAAAAATTAGATTTCCTTTTCAAGTTATTAACGATTGAAGTCGTTTCTTATCCATGAGCTCTTACGGAAATTTTTCTGTTTAGCATGAAACTATATTATCAGCTCAGATGGTAACACAGTTTCGTGCTAAATTGAAATCTCCATAAGAGCCCATGTATAAGAAGCGACTTCAATCGTTAATACCTTGAAAAGAAAATTTGAAAAAATTCTAGGAAAACTCGTAAATAATTCAATTGTAATTATAAAGATTCTATATGAATTCCGGACGAATTAATTATTTACCTTTTTCGCACTAAACACCTTAAGGGATTGAGTGGTTCACTTGTTCGAGTATTGGTCGATCACTGGTTAATGGGTGATGATTACTCGACCATCGATCCACTGCCGATTGACTGGCAAATGACAAATAATTGACGATCGATCTCCGATCGACTAACCGTTGACCAAAAATTGAGCAATGATCAACCACCGATCGACTAACCGTTGACAAGCAATCGAGCAACGATCCATCGGCTATCGACAGGGCAATTATACTATTTTTATACAAAAATCACAGAGAATTGGTAGTTTTTTATCCCATTTTACGAGAAAATTTTTTAAAAATTAGTTCACATTTCACTGACTTCTACAATTCCGAGATTTTTACCGGAAACTGACAACTTTTTTGTGAGCAGATCGCTTATTTTTTCGGGTGGCATTGATAAAATGACAATTATTTTTCCTCAAAATTGACCTTTTCTCTAGTGAAAGGGGTAAAATTTTTAGGAATTGCTTATTTCTACCGGGAATGAGGAAGTTTTAAAGCGATTTATCGAAGAAAAAATTTTGAAATCTTTTCGTATTCTCCTTGATAACATAAAATATTGACCCATTCGATGTTGACTTTTCAATTATGTAATTTTTTAAAACTTTTTTTAATAACAAGGAAAATTAAAGGAAGAGTTCAAGGATGTCAAGGATTAGGAAACAGCCAGATTTATAGGATATTAAATAGAAAATAAACTAAAAATGATTTGTTTTCGTTTTAAAAAAATAACCTTTATTTAAGATCTTATAAATCTGGCAATTTACAATCCGCAAAGTATTTTACAATTTTTGCTAACACTATTATTAATCCAGTTGGCAACAATCGACTAGATACCCTATGTGTCATACTTTCTTAATCTACGTGAGAGAAATTGAGGAGAATTCCGATCGCAAAAATAAATGGAGACAAATCAAATCAATTAGAGAATAAATGATTGGGCTCGATCAGAATTTCAATCAATTACCTCACGGAGATCGACTGGAAATAGTCCTAAAAGTTTAATACTAGATGATCAATCCAAATACGTCTACGAAATAAAGGTAAATCATTTGGAATCCAAACTAAGTCTAATTAATTTCAGCCTTAATAAAAAAAATCAGCTCTAACTATCAGTCCTTCACAATTCTACAAATGAATGAGTCACTAAAATCTAAAAACTTTATGTCATGGGAAATTCCAAAACAAAACACCACTAAACTTATTATCCCAGTTTTTCAGTCCCAAAAAATCGTAAAAAATATGTTTCTGTTCTTCGATTTCTGAATACTCATTACATACTTCCACAAAAAAAAAATATATTAAATAAATTTCTTTGCCATATAGATCAGTTAAAAAATTTTCTTGTATAGTCTGATTGGAGATAATTTGTGGAGAATAAAAATCGGTATTTGAAATGGCTTCAATAGAATTGGTATAATGTACTCGCGTTTAATGTAACTTAGAGTGTTGAGGAATAGTGTAGCGAGTGAGGGTGCAGTCCATATGATGGATATAATATTCCAGATGAGGGAACGCAAAGATAATGGACGAATTATTCTCGTTTTATCTATACGGACTGCTGTTATCTGTTTCGATTTAATCCGCAAATTTCGGTTTGTATCCTAGGGGAAATAAAATTTATTGTAATACTGAAATATTTCAAAATAACAATTGGTGAGATTCCAGAGATATCTATGCATTTTTTACTTCACAGAATAAAACAATTGGGCAAAATATTGGAAATTCATTCTTTGACAAAAATTATATTCTCATAACTTTTTTTGAAGGGAGACTACTATGACTTTTAGAAATCGTGAGCTATTGGAGTGAGATTTTTCATACATTGAAGATCGATGTGTCTAAAAACGAGTAATTAGTGCAAAAAAATTAAATGTTTATTGTTGGTTTGCCCGTAGACACTTAAAATGTTAGAAATAGTCCAGAATCTTCAATTTTTGAGCTACAGAAGTTTTTTCTCAAAATTTTTAAACAAATGTGCACAATAACAATCACGAGCCATTTTTTTGAATTTCGACTGCTATACAGCTAATTTCGTTTTTTTTAATATAAACAACTACATCATTCATGTAAAATAGCCAAGAAAATATTTTTGAAAGAATTGAGAATATATTTTAAATATTTTGAGGGTCATTTTCCTGGCAATTTTCCATGAAAGGAGTCGAATTTCAAAAAATTAACTCGTAATTGCTATTGCACTTTTTTTGAAAAATTTTGAAAAATCAACCTCTGCAGTTCAAAATTGGAGAGCCTGAACTATTTTTAACACTTTAAGTGTCTGCGGGGCAAACGAACAATAAACAGTCAATTGTTGCCTCCGAATGGAGGCTTCTTAATCGTCCAAATTTAAGTGTTGGATTTTTTGCGTTATAGCAACCCAGTGTGATCCAAAAAGTCCGAAAACGCAATTTTTAGACCTCATCCGTACGTGTGTGTACGGGTGTACGTATATAACAATAGTTTTCTTCAATTGTTCGCTAATGAATTAACGAAATTGGATATTTTTTTTTTAAATTTAGGTATTGTTGAGCCCCATCGATCGCCATTAATGAAAATTTAATTCGTTCATTATTTTTTTTAATTTTTGAATTTTCCCAAAAATCGCTTGTTCCACGATAACTAAAAAAATGTTCTGAATTGATTGAATGATGACTAAAAAAATTTGTTTGGAGATCCGTCACCGAGTTCGAAGATGGAGGCGATAGCAATAATCGTGATTTTGATTTATTTGAAAATTTGCAGAAATTTTGTATTTTGTATTTTTTAAAAATCCGAATTTCGGGGATATTTTTGAATATCATGTTCCAAATGAATTCAATCATAGCTAAAATGTTTGTTTTAATGCCATTAAGTCGCAGTTAAAAGACAATTACGATAGTTATATTGGTTGATTTGATTTTTATGATTGTTGAAAATTTCGAATTTTTCATGAATTTCCCTCAAAATGAGCTTTCTGATAGTTTCTTCAAATGTGATGTTCCAAATTCATTCAAGTATGTGTAAATAAAACTTTTCTATTAACATTTTATCGAACGGTTGAGGGGAGAGATAGAACCATAAAAAGAATAAGAATAAGAATAAGAATAATGATGATAACATTCAACTAAGTTGAACATCTGACAAAATTAGTTGAAAAGAAATGTTATTCAATTTAATAAAACGAAATAAACAATGAATTATACATGATTGAAGGAAATGATATTCAAAATAGCCATTCGGAAGCAAACTGCTAATTTATTACCAAAAATAACTATACTATATGCAATACAAGAGTAATTTTCTACTTGTTTAGCACTAATAGTTCGTTTTTAGGCCTATATAATCGATCTTCAATGCATGAGAAATCTCAATCCAACAGCTCGCAAATTTTAAAACCCATAATAGTCTCTCCTCAAGGGAAAAGAAAAGAAAATGAAATATTTGCTTCTCACTCGAAAGAACAGATATAAAAAAAGTATTGATTTTGTAAAAGAATTTTTGGCGTTTATACTGTTTTAATATCTAATTTCGCATACTTGTTAACAATTCTATCATGTGAAAATGATAAATTAATTCTCGGGAAGCATCTCAACACTTTTTTGAATGGCCAAACAGGAATTACCCGTTTTGTGTGGGTGTTGAGTAAGTGGTTGACGATGTTGATGCATTTTGATGATTTTTTATTTTCGTAAACAGGTAGTAATGATTTGCTTACCTGCACCACCACATCGGATTCACGATGGCTGTCGTTAAGAGATGACTCGGCAATGCTAAGATCATCGTCCTCCTCTTGATCGAGCATTATTGATAATTCATCATGGGTACGTGTGTCACAACCACGAAGACAACGACCGCATAATTTCCCCTGTCTACACACAAATGATTGAACAATAATTAAAACTCTCTCTACATTTCGAAAGAAAATTCTCAAGCGACTAAAAATGATTTATGAATTGTTTTATGCAATTTGAAACAAAAAGTGATTCGAAAAGAAAATATTTTGCGTTATCATTAAATCATTTCGAGATCAATCAATATCTCATTAATTCGACGGTAAATAACAGCTGTGATTGATGCTTTAACTGTTGCACTGCTCCATTACCAAATATTTAATTACGTGATCCGTCATCTCCCGCGTATATCATATTTACTGGCAATTAAGAAATTTTGGATAGTTTATGAACACACGAGTTGGGAAACGGCATTTTTGACAAATGTGAATGGACAGGCTGGGCTGAAGGCGAGGTCTGTAATCACATTCGTTAAAAATGATATTTACCAACGTGTGCGTTTCATTATTCTGAACGCAGTGACGCAAACTTGTTTGTTATCTTGAATGGATTTGATCCTGTAATAGCCCTTGGGCTATTGCATCTTTATGCAGACTTGAATGAATAAGTGAATGAATAAATTTGATGACTGATTCTAAATTATTCATGGCATGTGACCTATTATGACTAATGAAGTCGCTTCATTGTAGCACATTTGATGTTTTACATTGAGACCTTGTCTGAAAAAATTTTAATCCATGCTTTTTAATTATACAATATACATATTGAATGCTTCTAAATTCAAATGTAGCAACCAAATTATACACTAAAGTAGTATGAATCTAGTTGAGGTGTTGAGTGCAAAAAAAGTAAAAAAAAGTTATTCATCATTGATAGTTTTCCCCATGAATTCCAATTTTGAAGAGTGTAAGAAATGGATAGATCAAATTCTTTCTTCAATTATTTTAAACAATAATCTCTCGGTTAACTAGTTTAGTTAACTAGTGTTTCGGCCTAAAATGACATTTCGGACATGCAGAAACATGAATTATTCATTACAAAAGTTTGACACTGACGATAATTTTCGTGGTGGGCATAGAATGTTATTTTTATTAATTTTGTCACACCGTACGATAAGTCCAGTTAGAAGCACGATGTAACATAAAATAATATAGACCACTCAGACATAAATTTCGTTTCCAACGAATGTGAGTACAGACCTCGTCTTCGGCTCCGCCTGTAAACTTCACATTCGTCAAAAACGAAATTCATGCCCTTGTGGTCTAATATACTATTTTCTGATTCTGAGAGATTTTTTTTAGATTTCAATCTAGAAGAAGTTATTTTCATCACAAAACTCTGTGTTAGTTTTGTACTTCTAGATTAATTACTAGGGGCCTATGAACCCGGCTCGCTCCGCTCGCCAACCTCCATATGGCCCCCATGAAACTTATTCTGACTCTTGTGACCCTTATTATGACCCTTATGACCCTTATTCTGACTCTTGTGACATTTAATCTGACCCTCGTGACCCTTATTCTGACCCTCAGAACCCTTATTTTGACCCTCGCGACCCTTATTCTGACCCTCAGAACCCGTATTTTCATCCTCGTGACCCTTATTCTGTTCCTCATGACCATTATTTTGGCTCCCAGGATCTTTATTTAGACCCTTGTTTCCCTTATTTGGACCCTCAATCGGGCCCTGATTTGGACCTTTATTCTGACCCTCCGGACCCTTAATCGGACTCTTGTGACCCTTAATCTGACCCTCGTGACCCTTATTCTGTTCCTTATGATCATTATTTTGGCTCCCGTGACCCTTATTTAGACCCTTGTTACTCTTATTTGGACCCTTAATAGGACCCTTATTTTGACCTTTATTCTGACCCTCATAACCTTTAATCTGACTCTTGTGACCCTTATTCTCACCCTCATGATCCTTAAGCCGACTGTCGTGACCCTTAATATCACCCTCGTGACCTTTAGTCTAATCCTCATAATCCCTATTCTGTCCCTCATGACCCTTATTTTGACCCCCGTGACCCTTATGCTCCTTATTCTGTGTCTGATGACCATTATTTTGGCTCCCATGACCTCTACTTTAACCCTTGTGACCCTTAATTTTGAAGTCTTAGCTTCGAGTACCAAATTTTCATCACCAGAAGTCGATTTTGATTTTTATAATATAGAGACGTCAATAATTTCAGGCTGTCGATTCAGCACAAACTCAACCAGAATATTTCTATTCATGTTAACTTTCGTTTCGAATTTATTTCAGATTTTAATCTTCAAATTCAAGTTATGTTTATAATATTTTAAACTGTGCAATTTGAGATGTATTATTTGAATATCTGGAATTCAAAAATAACAAAATTCAATCATGCGTATGTACATCATGCAATTAAAATGTGAGAATTAGAATTTCTGTGACAAGGTAATACAAAACTTCAAATGTTTAGAAAATGAAGGAAATACATTGTGTGCAATACATCATTTTCTCGAGAAAAGTATGCCTTGTTCATTGGGTGTGAATAGCAAGGTAAACAATATGAAGAATAATTTCAGTATTTATAAATTTTAAACATTAAGGATGGAAATAAAATAATTACCTGACTTCCTCCAATGTGTTAATTTCTTCTTGCAAATTTTTCATATCTTGTGCCTTATTTCTCCACTCATTAAGCTGATCCTCGAGTGAATTGTTCTCCTTCAAAAGAGTCTCAAGCTGTTCACGCAACTCATTGACCCTCTTCTGTTCCCTCGCCCTCTGATTACGTGTCTCTTGCAATTGTCTCAGTAATTCAGTAACTTCTTCGTCCGCGTTTGATGTGTTGGTTGTCACACGGATACCATCCGTCAACGGTACTGGAGAGGACTTTGATGGGCTTCTGGCAGCGCTCTGGGGGAATTTCAATTAAAATTTTTCTCGTTAATTAACATTTTTTATTGTTGCTACACCTCTTTCTTCACAAACATCCAACATTTTTCGATGGTTCCATGTTCTTGGGAAAGACATTCAGTAGCAAAACGACAAAACGGTTTGAGGCGATTTAGCCCTTTAGCTTTAGCTGAGTTTCCGAGGAATATCTCCGAATCTAAGGGAGATAATGAAATTTTCGTAATAACTTTGTTTGAAACGTAGCTTTAATTGTCGCATTTCGTTCCGTACATCACCACAGTTATGAGTTAAATTTCGATTATTATCAGTGATTCAACGTTATTAAAATTGCAGTGATTTTAAGACACTCAACAGTGAAATTGAATACCAAAGAGTGTACAAAGAATTTATTTAACGACGCGGTTCGATCCCACAATAAACGGCGATTTTTATAATCCGTCTCAACAATTAACTTTCCAGCATCTCCCTCCACATTTTCTCTCACATCCACCCTAAATCTAGTTCCTCACCAAACACACTTTTTGTGTAGAATGAGTTCAGAGCTACAGAAAAGTTTTTGGCAAAAATTTTGCTATCTCTCTTAGATTTCGAGATATTCATTGAAAATTAGCCAATAGGCAAAATTGACTTAAGGATATCCAAGCATCTCTTACAGTTTGGTAAAGAACATACTATAGATTCAACCATTTTCAATCATTAAATTTGTCAATTAAATTCCGTGAGAAAAATTTGAAAAGAATCATGAATATTCAGTGTCAATCAAATTACATTTTGCACAGAATTATTATTTTTTTAAACATACGTTGTTTAAAAATTAAGAATAATAATAATTAAAATTGTTTAAACTTTCAGAAACCTTATTTTCTTAGGCATGAAAGCAATTTCTGATAAAATTCTGAATATGAATAAATTTGTTACGATTCCGAGCAAATGATTTTTATGGTGGAAAATTAATTGTTTATAAATTATTTATAGATAATATTTGTCATTTTCAAAAATTGCAATGTTTAATTATTTCATCAATATTCCTCCAACTCTGGTCATCTCGGCGGGGATTCATCGCCGTATAATTTGGGCCCCAGCGTTCGAAATAATTTGTTTTCTTTAGGAATCACAGGAAATATGTTGTTCTAAAAGCTAATATAATTTTTCGTGAGAAGACCCGGTAAACCGCGATTCTAACCTCGCTTCGCTCGGTTTGATCGCGGTTTACGGGCCTTCTGACGAAAAATTGCATTCATCACACGGTCCAAAAGTATTTTCTGACGAATGTGATTATAGGCCGAGCCGAAGGCGAAGCCTATAATCACATTCGTCAGAAAATATTTTGTGGACCTTGTGATGAAAATAACTATTTTAGACACTTCAATTGATAAAGTCCATTTTTTTTTAATTTTTCCGGCTAACCAGTCAATTGTAATTAAAGAAAAATGACCCGCGGCGGGGTTTCCCTCATATGGTGACCAATCTAAGGTTAAAATCTAAGGAGTATCGCGAAATCTATGGTTTTTGCCCTGTATATCTACCAAAAACGCCATTTTCATATTTTTACCGTAAAAATACTGTTTGTACCACAGTTTTCATCCGATTTCAACTTTTTTTTTCAATATTCGTTATACTCCAGTGAACAAACTCAAGTATGCGTTTTACTCTACATATAACAGATGAGAAAATTATATTTAAAATTTTTGATTTTGTTTTTTCGCCTCTTTAGTAAATCCTAACAGTCGTTGTTTTTTGTTGTTGAACCTTGTGATCATACGTAATTGGAATTTTATGAATTTTATTTGAATTTCACCGCGGTCTCCCCTTAAGGTATATCTCAAGACAGTACCACCCAAAAGTTAGTCCCTATGGATTTCCGGAAAAAATTTGAAATGACTTATTTTATTGCATTCTCAGAAGTTATTGAGTTTTTCTACCGTCATATATTGTTGATGAAGGCAGCAATAACTGTTTGAATCGAATCAGAAATTATTTATTAATTAATTGTTTGAATCATATAAGAAATGATCTCTCAAAATTTACATTTTTAGAGTTGAATATCACAAAAACCGTATTCGGAATTTATCAATCTGCAGCGGATTAGCTTTTTAAGAACATCGTAAGAACCGTTTTCTCATAAAATGGAAAAATCGAGTACGGAGTTACCCATAACCCTCGTTTCACCTATAACTTGCGTGTGAGAAGTCCGCATTTGATTATTTATTATCGCCTAAACTGCGTAGTATAGCTAGTTGAAATTTTTTTCAATAGCTGGGGAATATTATAAACATTATCTATGAAAAACATGAGGATAATCACAAGAAAACCTTGTTTTCCATGGATATACCTTAAACCGTTTACCGCTTTGCTACTGCATTGTCATCATGTCAATTTTGAGAAAGAAATGTAAAAAAATTATTAATTCGATTTGTTTAATGACCTGTTGTATGCCGCCATCTTGCGATATCGTGCCCTTCCAGGTAGTCGAGGACTGTGTGTCAGTAGGCTGATTTGAATTTTGTTGTTGTCGCATAAGATTGTCATGCTGATGCTTTAGCTCGTCAAGTTTTTTCTGTAATTCGTCAAGCTTCGCCTCGAGGTTTTCGATGGTCAAACATTGGCTGAAATTTAACAGAAAATGATTCATTAATTCATCGAGACACTACACAAGCTATCGAAAAATAATAATCCAAATTTTTTAAATTTTTTCAAAGTGAATGGCTTTTAAGAAATTTTTTTCCAATCTGATAAATGTTAAATCACCTTTTGATTAATTTTTTGTCAGCTGTATTTTCAACAACGAGTCTGTGATTGGCACGTTCCAAGTCCTGAATACTGACTTCCAGTTGCTCATAAACTTTGAGTCTCGAGTCGTTGACTTCTCGGAGGGCTGCCGTCTGTTTTTTCATATACTAGACAAATAAAACAATGGCACGAGAGATATTAATCATTGGATAGAATTATGAAATGAAGTGGCGAAGAAAATGGTGCGAAACAAGGAAGAGACATGGAATTCTCAATGGGAAGTTGGTAATTAATTTAATTTCCTGAATGAAAGTCACGCTCTGTATCGTCGGTGTTTTTTTTTCTCGTTGCAATGTGAGGGGTTCAGAGTTCATTGGAAATGGCAGTCACGTAGTAATCAGCAAATCTGATGAAGGCAGGAGCCATTGGAATGTGGGAAATGTTGCTGTTAATTTTTTTTAATGACTAGTTTTTTCAAGTAAAATGTTTGGTTGATTCTAAGTCAATGAAGAATGGATATGAAATGTGTATAACAATTAATAATTGATTTAAAGGATAATAATTTATAAATGATGATTGCTTGGGGATTTTTAGGGATTGTTTACCTCAATTTCTTGTGCCTGTTCGTCAATTGTTGCTTGATGGGTCTTTAAATTAGTCTCTAACTCTTTGTTGCGGTCTAGGAGGGTTTTACCAAGTTCAGCTGCCAATTGAAGGTCTGAAAAAGGAAGAAAAAATTGCAATTAGGAAAAATTGAGTAGAAATTTGGGTTTTTGCTTCCGAATGGAAGTTTTGTAATCGTCCAAATTTAAGTTTTGGATTTGATGTGTTGTGTCGACTCAGTATGATCCAAATAGTCGGAAAATACAATTTTTAGACTGAAATGAAAAGACAATTTTTGTATGCGTGTACATATGTAACGAAGTTTTTCTTCAATTATAAGCTAATGAATGGATGGAATTGAATCTTTTTCTTCAAATGTAAGTATTGTTGAACCCTATCGGTCGTCATTAATTAAAATTCAATTCGTCGATTAGTTTTTTTTATTTTCGACTTTTTTCGAAAATCGGTTGTCCCACAATAACTAAAAAAAATTTTCTGAACTGATTGAATAATCGCTTAAAAAATTTGTTTGGATGTCCCGTTGATCGAGTTCGAAGATGAAGGCGATAGCAATAATCATTATTTTGATTTATTCGAAAATTTACAAAAATTTGGTATTTTTTGAAAATCAGAATTCCGGGAATATCTCTGAATATCATGCTTCAAATGAATCCAATCATAGCTTAAAATGTTTGTTTTAATGTCGTTAAGTCGACGTTAAAAAATGATTGTGACAGCTATATTGGCTGATTTGATTTTTATGATGATTGTTGGAAATTTCGAATTTTTCATGAATTTCCCTGAAAGTGCGCTTTCTGATGGTTTCTTCAAATGTGATGTTTCAAATTCAGTAGTGAAGTGGTCAATCGGGTTAAGTCGACTCATCTTCCAGTTGAGTTTTTGTTGAATAACTCAGAATTTAAGAAAGATAGCGAAATTTTTGTAAGATCTTTTTCGATAGTCTTCACTTTTCTTTACAAAAAAGATTTTTAGGAAAATTTTGCTAACTCCTTTAGAATTCGAGAAATGCATCGAGAACTGGCACTAGAATGAAATTGACTTAAACCGTTTGACCACTTGACTACTGAATTCATTCAATTATGTATAAATAAAAATTTTCTATTAACATTTTATCGCAAGGCTGAGGGGAGAGATAGAACCGTAAAAAAGGCAATCGTTTGTATAGAAGAAAGAGATAATAAGAATAATGATGATGATAACATTCAATTAAGTTGAAAATCAGACAAAAATTAGTTGAAAAGAAATCTTATTCAATTTAATAAAATGAAATGAACAATTAATTATACCTGATATAAGAAAATGTTATGCAAAATAACCATTTGGAAGCATATTGCTAATTTATTAGCACAAATAACTATACTATATGCAATACAAGAGCAATTTCCCACTTGTTTTGATTGAAATAATGATTCCCTTCTTTTTTATAATTTTTTTCACTCTTGGAGATCAGAGAAAAGATTTATAGATCACTCGAAATGATATTCCCAATGGTTCTCCCTCGTTCAAATCACTTCACTTGCTCTCCATTCTTGCAAATCATTTTCCGTTGCGCTCCAGAAAAATTGTTTCTTAACCTTTCTCTCCCTCTAGTTAAATGGAAATTGACCATGATTAATCAGTTTTCATTGGGCAGTAATGGACGAATTCTCAATATCACAGTTTCTTAATTGATTTCATAACAATAATTTTTTCCATCAACGTTTAAGAATTATTACAACAAATACTGTTTAATTTGAGAATATCCCAGGAACTGGTAGAAATTGATGTATAAATATGTCATTTTTTTATATTCTAAACAAAAATTTATCCTCATATTTTCTTCTGATTGTAAACACTGAGAGTCAAATAATCATACGCACAAATGTTTTTTAAGTGCGAAAGAGTTTGTACATTATTTAAAAACATTTGCACACCCCGAGATTCGCCTAAGACAAATCTTCTGCTGTCAAATCTTTCGCTAGTTTCAGCTCCATGAAATCTCACACGAAAAGAAAACACTGAGAAAAAAAATTGTTTTTGCCAAGTATCCATTTACTTAAGAGAAGTATTTATTTTTTAATAAAGTATTTCTCCAGTCGAGTCATTCCCAGGCAATCCTCATTAGGTTTCATTTGTGACAATTCTATTGCTCTAGAAGATGATCATGTCAGTTATGACTTTGAGTGAACTCCCTCAATAATTATCAATATCAAAAAATTGATCGAAATTCTTTCTTGCGGAAAATAAGAAATTTAGGAATAGGAATAGTCATTGGAGGAGTTCATCCAAGGTCATGTGTAACATAGTCATCCTCTAGAGCAACATGATTGTCATAATTGAAACCTAATCAGGCCGGCCTGGGAATGACTCGACTGGAGAAATACGTTCTGGAGTCAATCGATACTTGGCAAAAATATATTTTTTTTAGTGTAAGGGGTCTTAGTGTAGGGGTCACGTTACCTCTCAACTCTAGATTGGTCACCATAAGAGGGAAATTTTCACATTCTCTAATTTTGATTGGAAATTATGTAAACTGGTCTGAAACGTAAAACGTCAACTTCCCGGTGGTCAATTTTCAGAAAATTGAGTAATTAAGTGGCTAAAGTAATTCCGAAAAATCTGAAATTTTGTCAGATTATAGGTCTTAATAAGGACTAACTCTGCGCAAAATTTCGGTCTAATCAATCTAATAGGTTTTAAGAAAAAACGATTCGTTTTTAAATCGTTTTCCGCAAATATCTTCAAAACTAGTGGACCGATTTTGATTCTTTTTTTTGAAAATATTCGTTTCGATGCCTTCCATCTAAATCAATCAAAACATGTACACCCGTTCCTACAAAGTTTTCGAGATATTTACGTTTTTCGGCTTTTCTATTAAAAAAACTTTGTAATCTCACTCTAGCTTGTGAAAAAATGCAAATATCAACTTGAAATTTGGACAGAAAGTATGCATATCCGTTGATACGAAGTATTCGAAACATTGGAATTTTTGTAGAACCCGTAGAGGTAGCAGTAAACATTTGAAATTTTTCTTGCTAGTTAGTGTTGTACACCTATAAACTTTTGTAATATTTATGTAGTGAAATGGTAAACAGGAATAAGTGCAATTCTTCGCACAATTTTCTATTGCTTGAATCGAAAGTTCTCTCAAACGCGGTTAAATTTCTGAATCAAATTCCTGAAAAAGTTCCATTCTTGCACTTATGCAATATATTGATGGCGAAAAAAAATAAGACATCAATCTGTGACACGCTCACTGTCATATGCTCGCTGTCCCCTGCTTATTCAATTATTTCATCAATCTTCCTCCAAAAGTAAACTTTCTAATTTTTTTTTAGATTTTTAAAATGTTTTCCAACGGTCCAATATCGAGATTTAAATTCAGACCTGCAAAGTTTGAATAATGAAATCATCGTAAAATGTCCGGAAACTTGGGATCAAATGAGGCTTAATTAAAAGCTCTGATGTTTGACTGGAAAATCCGGAAACTTGGGATTAAATGAGGCTCAATTAAAAGCTCTGATATTTGACTGGGGTAAATCGTCGGTTGTGCGATGTCGCCGGAAACTCGCTAAATCCCTGCGGCGGTGACCAACGTTACAGGGTCTCTTATGGTGACCAACTAGGCTTAAACTTCCTGCTTTCCAAGAAGTATCTACCATGAGTCCGATTCCCGGCGTAAATCATCAAAATAATCGAGATTGACGTTAATGCTAATATTTATAAACTAGGGGGCTTCGCCCCCTGCTCGCTCCGCTCGCCAACCCGGGGGGGGCTTTGCCCCCCCCGCTCGCTTCGCTCGCTCCCCCCCCCCAACCGTGTGACCACAGCGTACCCATAAACATCTTCCATATGAGCACCCCCTATATAGTAATCCTCCATAAATATAGATATCCCCTTTATGACCACCCCCTCATATAGACATCCCTCATAAATACTGTCACCTCTCCGTATAGGAATCCCCGTATAGGCACCCAGCGTCCCCTGAATTTGAGCGTCCCCTGAATTTAAGCGTTCTCTGAATTTTTCACCTTATTTTTTTATTTATATATACAGATATAGAGAGACATCACCCCCTGCGGATACACCTCCCGGGTGCTCCCTTCTACGGATACGCTGGGAGTAGTCGATCACCCCCCCTCCCCTCCTGCGCTAAATGCCTACGGATATACTAGGGTAATTGATCACCCCCCCCCCTTCTTACCACTCGTTAAATTCATCTTCCGTTGGAAACACAACATCAAAGTGTTACATCTCTATGATATGCTCTCCTGAACAGATTTATACCCGCAGAATTGGAATCGGTGCGGTTCAATTCAACAGAAAATTTATGTAAACTCTTGGCGAAATCTGTCAAAAATCTGAAAAAAAAACTCCGTTTCTAAGGAGTTTCGTATTTTCTGTTCAATTTATTTTTAAGATTCCAGTGGTGCTTTTACGCACAGACTCCGTACTCCAGATTGAGAAATTAATGATGGTGATTTCTCAATGGAATGAAGTAACGTGAGTGCACAAGCACCAACAATTGACATGAAAATCCTTGGCCAGATTTGGACCTAACGCAGAACTGCCCTTATGGGAATGAGATATATGCAGCACTTATATCTAGCATATATTTGGCATATCACATTTTTGGCCGAAAATATATCTGACATATATTGCAGATATATGTTAAATATTTCACATCGAGATATATGTGCATATTTATAGCTAGGATATATCTGGCATATGACATTTTTGGCCGAAATATAAGTGCAATATACTGAGATATATGTCCGGATATATTTTCTTTCCATGAGGGTGAGTCCGTATGAAACAAATATAACCCCCGCGATTATATTTAAATTATATATAACATATATGAGATATATCTCGGATATATTTTTTGCGAAAAAGCAATATCCAAGATATATGCGAGATATAAGTGCGGATATATTCGCACACTTTGAATTAGCATATATCTCGGATATAAGGATGGCCATCAATCTTCCGATTCTCCAATATTAACCCTAGTTTGGTCACCCTACGCGACACCAGCGACTTGGCCACGTCCGCGGGGAAGTGCCGCCGTATTATTTATGCCTGAACGTTGCCAAATTCACTGTACACTGCCCG